TCTGGCTTTCGTCATCAGTGATCTGCTGATGACCTGTTTGCTTACATCTCACATATATGGCAGCAATCTTTCAAAAAATATGGTGAGACCTCAGCCGTTGCACTTGATATCTTCAAGGCATTCGATTGAGTCTGGCACCACGGACTCCTTGCCAAGCTTTCATCTTATATGGCTTGCTACCACAGCTATGTTCTCTGTCAGCTTGTTTTTTCCTCAAACAGGTCTCTCCATGTAGTGATCGACAGAGTTTCATTTGACTCGTTTATCATAGATGCTGGTGTTCCGCAAGGATCAATTCTAGCACCAACACTATTTCTATCCCATATCAACGATTAGTTGAGAGCAACTTCATACCGCCTTCTCTTCCAGGGCTCCAATACCAGCCAGACAAATCAGAAACGAACAAGGAAGAAATATTAACAAAATAAATATAGCCTTGGCAACAATTCTCGAATGGGGATCCAATAACTTTGTAGATTTCAATGCGAACAAAATTTAAGCATGCCCTTATTTAGAAAAGCCTATCTCACTGTGCACAACATGAGCTCGTCAGGTCTAACCATACCTTTGAAGACATCCAATTCGATGCTTGGTATTACTATCAGCAATATCCTCTCTTTAGAAAATCACGTGAGATCAATTGCTAAAAGTGCATATGAAAAACTTCGTTTTCTGTTTAAGGCCAGGAGCTATCTCACTTTCAGTCAGGCACAGATCCGACCTCTCCTGAAATACTGTTTCCATATTTGGAGTGCAGCACCCAAATATACCCTGAAACTGTTGAATTCTGTTTAAAAGAGGGCAATTCATCTCGTGGGTGATGTATCGCTCACAAACTCACTCACTTTTCTGGAACATCGTAAAGTTGGCGATCTGGCTGTTTTTTATTGATATTTCCATGGACGATGCTCTCCTTAATCATGACTAATTGTTCCATCCTTGGCAGTCCCTGCGAGATTATCCTGTCGAGTTAAGGCTTCGCACCCCTTCGTGGTCACTTTGGAGACTTCAAAGACGTGAAGGAACTACAACGATTTTTAGGACTCTGTAATTACGACAGATCTTTCTCACCAGAATTCGCTACCTTTCCAGAACCACTCACCGCCCTTTTGCGCAAAAATCAGCTCTGGAAGTGGTAATCCGTGCATGAGGACGCTTTCCAGCTTCTCAAGGAAGAATTACAAAATGTTACTCTTTTATATTACCCTTATTTATCGTCACCATTTTTTATAGCGACGGATGCTAGCGATTTTGGCATTGCTGCACAGTTATACCAGATGATCGGGGACGGAAAACCCGTCGTTGCCTAGTGTAGCCGATTGTTGCTAGAACGTGAGCGCAGGTACCACTCTAATGAGAAGAAGGTCCTAGCCGCCCTTTGGGCAATCCAACGTTGGCATACTTACCTTTTGGGAAAGGAATTTACTGTGGTCACCGACAGCAAAACTCTGACATCTTTGAATTCCTGCCGTTTGTTATCCCCGCGAATAACACGTTGGGCATCAGCCTTACAGGAATATCAGATCAAATTCGTGCATCGCAAGGGCCGTGAGAACCTCATAGCCGACGCCCTTTCTCGGTATGCTTGCGTGAGGCTTTCCACGCCAGTAGACAACAAGTGTTTTCAAATAGCGTTACTCCGTTTGCCTCAACCATTTCTTGAAGACTTGAAAAAAAAAGTATCAAGCCAGCGACGAAAAATTTTGTGAAATGAAAAATAAATTGCGTTCCGATGAGAAAATTAGTCAAACATTTTTACTTCACAATGAACTTCTTTTTGAAAGAGATGAAAATGAAAATAAACTACTGTTATGTGTTCCCCGAACCCTTGTTCGAGACTTCATTTTAAACTATCATGTAACTTTGGGGCACTATGGTATATATAAAACTTGGGTGGCCTTAAGGTATGAAGTATATTTCCCAAACATGCAGCGTACCATCGAGAAATATATTCGCTGCTGTGACATTTGCCAGAAAGCGATAATATCGCAATTACCTCATCCGGCTCAATTACAGATCATCCCTTCCGGAAAGGACGATTTATTAGCCGTTGACGTTCTCGGCCCATTGATAAAAGGCCGAGGGAATGTGTCCTACATTTTCGTCGTACTGAATGTCTTTACGAAACACATTATCCGTTGAAGAAAATTACCTCGCGAGCAATGGTAAACAGGATCACCCAACAATATTTCCCCACTCATGGCGTGCCTAAGTGAATCTTGCACGCAATGCGACCCAGTTTACCTCCCGACTTTGGAGGGACACCTTCTAGAGCTTAGGGGTCCCTTTAGTATATATTTCCGTCAGACATGCCGCCGCGAACCCTTCCGAACGTTGCATGAGGAAAATTGGTAGGATTCTGCGAACCTACTGCCATGATAAACATTCCAAATGGGCAGGTGATATCCAACACTTTGCCGAAATCATGAATTTGGTAATCCACGAATCTACTGGATTTTCCGCAAATAAACTGCAATTTGGGACGAGTAGAACGAAGTTATTACCTGAACATTGTGCCTCTCCTGCGGACTACGAAATTAGTCATGCTGATAATCTCATCTTGGCAGGAGCCACTTTCAAATCGTGAGCAGAACGTCGAGCGATATCATACCCAGGTCGGGTGTACCAAAATTTTCAGCCCTTTTAAGAGCCAATAATCTTTCGTCTGCCCTTCGCGCTGAAACAAAAAAAAATTTATTGTTGTTCGAGGGACCCTATCGCGTAAAAAGATTATCAAGTAGGGACATGTACGTCTTGTGCCATATCGACAGTGACGTGGAACGAGGCATGTTTCATGCCACCCATATAAAAAAATATCACTTACCTACCTGAATCTCCGTGTGGTCCGGAATTCACGTACGAGGGATGTAGCAAAACAACATTGTCAACTCTCTCTCACCTCAGCCACCGTATAATCATGGTTTACGTGTCCACCGGGTATGTTTTGCGATTTTCCTAATTCATTGTTTTTCACCGATTCGCACTTTTTATTGCAGAAGGTCGTCGCACCTGTCGAGTCAATCAGCTGTTAGGGCATCGCGGTCGTCGATCTCTTTTCCTTTTCTGTTGATATTATAAATATTATTTATCATCTGCCAGGCATAGGCAACCCTCGGCACAACCAAATGCGTGGATGGTTGCCTAACTCGAATAGGTTGACAGGTACTATTTTTGAATTTCGCTGTTTCTCTCGCACCTAACAGGTTGGTAAAAAATCTCGCTGAAACCTTTGACTTGTTCTGGAAGAATCTGTTCGAGTGTTGGTCTTCTTTAACGAATGGTTGCCCATCAGTGCGTGTCATGAATTAGAAACCCAATAATCAAGCATCACTGCAAATTCTCTGTATAATTAGTGCATGCGAGTGGTTCCAGATTCGACTATCAGGATTCCCGGTATATATGTCAATCGTGCCTGTATTCATTAGGTGAGTTATTAATCTTACTCTTCTGATATGGAGCACGTGTTCGTGCTATGCTGGACTTGTTCCTGAAGCTAGTATTCATCAGTTTGCAAAATTGCAGTAGGAAAACTAGAAGGCCAAGAAATATTATGGTACCAATCTGAGGTTGATTTTGTGCTAATGAATTTCCATGCCCCAAATGGGGAAGTCAGAAAGGTGGTTTGAGAATATTCAACCAATATTCTCAAGATGATATTGCAAAATGCTGAGTTCCAATATTGCAGCCACATTTTGGAACTAATATTGTACCAAATTGCAAATTTTTTACCTCGCCAATATTACCGATATCATCCCAATATAGATGTACTACTTGGGTACAATTCTTGTGATCTTTGTAAACTGGAAAATACTTATTATCATGACAGATTCATTCAATAGGTGCCAATGAAATAAGAAGTGAATGATTATTATAACAATATAAATGTTTGAACTTCATTTTCATGATATTGAGAGCAGAATCTTAGAATCGGTAATATTTTTTAACATCAATGAAGTGAAGTTTTGAGGACTGTTTTTGAATTATCAAATGCAATATTGCCTCATGATATGAATCGTAGTGACTGTTTCGTAAAATATATTGGACAAACACGTCGAAGTATTGACAAAAGAGTTGAAGAACATATTATCAATCAAGTATTACCCAACATATTCTCAAGACTAGTAATCCTATTAGTTTAGATAATTTGAAACTTCTTCAACATGTAACAAATAATTGAGAGTTGGATAGTTTGGAGAGTATTCACTTCAATCGTTATGGATATCATTTGATAAATCACTTAGGACACATCCCTAACTACAGACTTCTTGATCTTCAACTGGATGTTCTTTCGACATTATTCTCTGAATCGTGAGATAATTTGGCACAAACTCTATTCCTTCTCACCACGCTTCTATTCAGAGTTGTGGTGACAAGAACCCAGGAGGAATTTCTTGCAGCAAAATATTTGAAAAAAGTTTATATGAACATGGGTCCGAGAATCCTTCATTTCCAAGTTAGAGAAAATGAACAGTTCTTAACTTATCTTGCAAACGCTTGGACTGATTTGACTTGAATTTTTATGATTCATTTACAGAATTATCAGACATCTACTGGACCAATTAGATTTGATCCAAAACTTCCAGGGGCGTACCCATCAAGCAGGTCGGTTTTTTTTGTGAAAAAAAAATTTCTTCCGGATCTTCGTATTCGTTTAAAATAACCCAATCAAACCTGGTATTCTTGAACTCGTTATAATGATCTCTATATGATTAAAATGTGTTGATGAATACAAAACCTACGAAATGATGATCACTTTCATTATTTTCCTTCATACTTTCTTCAATATCGTTATCTATGAACTATTCATGTCTGGAGGGTATCTCGAAACATATCAAATGAACAGTTTGCTGATCTTCATTTCATTTTCAGTTCAACTTAGGATGGAAACTTAGTTGCCTGAATACGTATCGAGGCTTAACTATGAATAGTGATGTGATATCATGGCTATATTTCGTACGATTATACCTCATATCAAAAATATATATTTGTCTTTGTTACAGCAAGTGATTATGTGAAATTTGGTTTCACTATGGCTTTTACAACAACCATTCTTTCTTGGGGAGTTATTTCATATGAAGATGCTTACGTTGAAGCTGGTAAGTTGAAAGATATTTGAATTCATTGAATTCGAAATTTGAAATTTCTATTTACTATCACTATATTGATACAGATATAATGAAGTGGCCAGACTGAAATTCCATCTCATTGGAAACAGTTGTAGCTTCTTCTTGTAGCTTCAAAACTTGCAGATAGATTGAAAACTGAAGAATCTGTGTGCTGTTATAGTCGACTATTTCCAATATACCTGAAAAATGTTTAGTCCTCCCAGCTATACATAGTTCGCCTAAAGTAAGCACAAACTTCTTTCATTCTTTCAGATTCTTCGAGATTTTCTCTCATCGTTTCTATGAGATGAAAATATAAGTATCATCTGTGAGAATGTATTATTTCAATATACTTGTATTGATGAGAATTCGCATGATCTGCTCAAAACTGTCACTGCCTTCGAAAATGTGTGTCAGGTAGCCTGATTGATAAGTTTATTCGTTTGTCAGTGACACTTTGTTTCGAAGAATGCTTGGAACAGAGAATTCAAGAAATATCGAGGAATTATAGAGTTTGTACCCTTCTTTGGAAGTTTTGATAAGGAATCTGATTCCGTTTTTAACATGTAAAATAGAAGATATTATGCTCGCAAATTGTCCTCAAGTTGACACTTTTCAATCCTACAGAGAGTATTTAACAAACTATTTATTCTGAATCAGAAATTACATTCGTATCAAACAGTTCGATAGTCACCTCTGGATTCAAACAACCTCATTTATTATCAACTTATCTATCACAGTTTTTGAGATTTTTCTGGAATTTATTAGCACCGTGGTACGAAAACATTGATTTCTGGCATACCGCTCAAAATTAAAGCACCAAAGTGAACCAGTTAGCTGAAAGCGATCACACAATAAATACTGTATGAACAGTGTATGTGAGTATATACAGGGTGGCCCAAATTGGTTACTTTTGAAGGGAAAATCATAGTCTCCAACTAGATAGGAGAAAACTTATGTCGGTGCCTGAGGGTCAGTCAATCCTGAGGCACTGAAATCGGACTTTCTATATCTTGTTCAAGAAGATATAAATATTAGACATCAGCTAAAATTAACAATGCCCCATCATACCACGTCTCTGCTTGAGAAAAGCTTCACATACAACTCGGTTATACTGTATAATTCATTACCAATAGAATTCAAGCAATCGCCATCGACACAATTCCGTGAAAAAATCAAGAGCAATTTGTTGAATCATACTTTACATGTGAAACAATAAGTGAAAATGTAGATGTCAAGCTAGATTTAGGTTTTTAGGATCAGTATTAGGATTAGGTTATGAGTTGAGCACAGGTTAAGTATAAGAATAGCTTTCTAGCTAAACTTCGCCTGATGCACATACCACCTATGCCTCATGTTACTATGTAATATTCTTTTGAGGAAATAAAGACGGATTATTATTATTATTATTATAAAATAACTTGTTCTTCTTGAAGGAGAAGTTCTACTTCGAAACTAGGATGGTGACTGATTTCAGTGACAATTTCCATGACGAGAACAATGCTTTGGTACAATTCTTGACAAAAAAGTGAGTTTTAGCCACTTTCTTTTCGAAACTTTATATTTTCGAAAAACATCTTGTCACTCTGAAACAGAGATAGATATCGATATGCAGTTTTCACCATTGAGTTTGTCATGCGAATTGATCGACAGGCACCAACATCAGTTTTGTTCTATCTGGTACGAGAATAGGACTTTCCCTTCAAATGTGTTCAATTTGGCCTATCCTGTTCAGTGCATCCCATTTTGTTGGGACTGCGGTTTTCGTGTTCCTCTCCTACTTCTGTGTGACACTAAAGATGGAATATTCAGATTTTCCATAACTGTTTCCGTTCATGAGATACAGATGGTGATTTGGAGGGTTTATTCTTTTAGGACCTCTTTTCTATCTACGAAAGTATTATGTAGCGTCACCAATTCTTTTTTCTCAGTATGGTTTTGAAGACAACAATAAGAATTTCTATATGTTCCAATAAAACAGACCTTCTACATAGGATTTCAGAAATGCTATAAGAACACTAAAACATCAAATCATGATGATTGTTTGATAGTGTGTCATGGATTTTCAAGTTTCACTCGAAGCATTTTCGTGTGTATTTTAATCGTGTTTTGAATGTTTTGTGTTTTTTTGTATATCTACCTATTCATCGAAAAACTTTCAATATTTTATTTCGACTTCTTTTCAGTTTGCCCATCCATAAAAGCGGAATTCATCAGTTTTTCAAATAATTTTATTAATCTTCTACTTATATCTCTATATCGCTTCTTCATCTATACACACACTTTTTTCCAGTTTGACTATCTATAAAAACGTGTTTCACTAGATTTACAATATTCTATTTATCACAATAGCCGAAGCCCGGCAAACGTTGTTTTGCTAGATAGGTACATTCATTTCTAGAAAATCTTTTTTTGTTGAATATTCATCAACACACTCTCATTATCTACTTTTTACTTCTTTCTAGCTTGACTATTCATTAAATCCTTTTTCATCAGTATTTCGAACTGATATTTTCATTTTCTACTTCTCTTCGATCAGTTCGAGAATCTATCTAATTTTTCAAACTATACTATATCTTCCTACTTCTATTCAGTTTGACTTCGATTTTCTCAAACTACTATATTTATCACACAATTCTATCGCCATATTGGACTTTCCAATTCCAGAGAATAAAATCATAACCTCCGTATCCGAAAACCCCCAGATACAAATTTTTAATAGAATCGGATCATAATTACAAAACTCGTTCGCCATATTGGATCCTTCATCTGAAATTTCCTGATATTGATGAAAGAATCATGATCTCCGTCCTCAAAGTTCTCCGGATACAAATTTTGAATAAAATCGGATCATAGTCACAAAACTCATTAGCCAAATTGTATCTGCCCTCTTTGATTTCCAAAATTTGATGAAAGAATCATCATATCCGACTCCAAAATCCCTCAGATACCAATTTTGAATAGTTTCTGATCATAATGGCGGAATTCGTATGCCATATCAGATCCACCATTTTGAATATACTAATTTTGACGAGGGATTCATAATCTCCGACTTCGAAAACCAATTTTGAGAAAATCTGACCGTAATTACAAAAGTCGTCCGCCAAATAGAATCCACCATCATGAATTTGAAAATACTTTCGTGAGAATCATAATTCAATTGAATACAATCAGATCATAATTATACAAAACTCGTTTCCATTTTGGATCCACCATTTGAGATTCCCAAATTTCAACGAAAGAATCATAATATCCGACTCCAAACACCTCCAGATACTAATTTTGAATGTATCCGCCATTTTGAATTGTCCAATTTTCACAAATAAATCATAATCGTCGACCATGAAAACCAACAGACACCAATTTCGAACGAAATTGAACCATAACCAAAAAACTCGCCCGCCATCTTGGATCCGCCATTTCAAATTTTCTCTTTTTGACAAATAAATCATAATCTTCGACCCCGACAATCCCTAGATATCAACTTTGAATAACATCGGAATACAAAACTTGTCCACCATATTGGATTCGCCATCTTCAATTGCCGATTTGGAAAATTAATAACCAAACGCTGAAAAATTCGTATCGGTTCTCCGAATCGGCTCAACCGATTCGGAGAAGTTTGGCCACTTACTGGGACAGGATTATTTCATATATCAGATATATATATATACAGGATGTTCCAATAGAAATAAATGAGTTCGGGTCGTTTCACCACAACCATAATCCTGAAAAAAAATCCAACTACGCCATTGAATTCTGCTTGAAGAAGTTTTGCGATCAATTCCTATTTCTCCGTAATGATTCTGTTTTGCATTTCGTGTGAGAATAATATTTTTTTTTTCACTTCGTGAATGAATGGCACAGCAGATTCTCTCAAACGGATATTTGAATATTCTGTTTGAAAATGGACCTGAAATATAGTCGCATTCTAATCTGCTGTTACGAGAAGTGAATTCTAATGTACGTACCCCACAAATTTCGTTTGTCTCCAAATTGATTCTCCATCCAGGCCGTTCCATACATTCCTTCCATAAGAGCATAGTTGATGTTCCCTTTGGAAAATTGAATCAATGAAATCCCTTTTTTTCGGCATTTTTACAATTCATTACATAGGACATTTCCATGTATGCTTTCTTCTCAATAGCTCATGAAATTATATTTGAAGTCTGACGTTCATAGAATGTATTGTCAAATTCGAACAATGTTGAATAAAAATGCACGGACGACTATGGTGCTCTTGTCACAATTCGAGGTGTGTAACTTAGTGAATTCGATCTAAACATCAAAAAACACTACTCAACAGTTGTTGTTGTTTTTAGTGTTTTCATATGCAACGGTACTACGGTAGCCTAATGACTTAAAATTTGTTTGTTTGTTTTGATCACTTCAGAATCAAATGAATAGGAATTGATGAATTCATCTATAATTGTAGGTCAATATTCTGAGGTATTGGATGCCATCAGATGGTCAACAGATTATTTCATCAAGTGTCATACGTCTCCATATGAATTCTATGGTCAGGTGGGCGATTTTACTATCGACCATGCATTCTGGGGTAGACCAGAAGATATGAATTTGACACGACCAGCATACAAAATCGATAAAGAACATCCAGGTAGGGTAATCAACATTTCCCAATCAAATTACATCCTATCATGAAACCAAATTCATCAGATACATTATTCTGATTTACAATTTTTCCATTTATCTACCACCAAAACGTCATTTCCAAAAATGAATATGTTATATTGACAGCAAGGATGACTTGACATATCCATAGCCCAATCGTTACACATGGGGCATGTGAATGGCAACATAGCACGAGAGACTAATTGGACTATCGTAGTTCTCTGCCAGTCTCCGTTGGAATATCTGAACAGAATGACATTTCTAATACTTCCACCTATTATATAACGGATCGATGAACAATCTGTATGATTTTCATTTGAAATGGAAATTGTGGCTTTGATTTCAAATAATTGATAAACGATGCCTTTTTTGACAGATCTATCTGATTCTACGTAAAAGAGTATCTGAATAATGTCGTTTGCAAAAATATTCGAAAATGAGAATTCATTACATCTTCTCTCAATAGGTCGAATGCGAAATTCGCTTGTCAAACAAAGTGCTACTTTTGATCCCAATGAAACAATCTACTATTATGTTGATTCTCTCTCTAATTTCGTTCCAGAAAATATGACTTTGAAGTTTTCTGCAATAATGATGAATCAATGTATCTCGAAGAATTATTGAATGTCTGCTCATCTTCAGACCTGTCAGGAACATCATAATATGAAATAATTCATGCACCATTGAATATACCTAGATGTCTTCTGATTCCTACAATGTTCAAATATAGAGGATTTCAGAATTCAATTAATATCAAGATTTCAGAGGCCTATTCTTCAAGTCAAAATAAGACCTTTCTTGTTAAAAAAACATATGTCCAAAAATGTTCCTTCATCAATTCACAGAGCTTGGTAACGGATAAGCCCCTGAGAAACACCCTGTATAAAATAAAATTCACACTGTGAAAACAAGCTGATCCGAATGATTCACAGCATTTGTAACGAAAAAAAAAACATTGATCGCTCATTTTCATAAAATTTAAACTCCTGTCTTGAATTTCAGAATGAAGGATATATATAAGGAGATTCTGATTTGTTTTTCAGGAACAGATTTGGCTGCAGAAGCATCAGCTGCATTTGCCTCCGCCAGTATTGTCTTCAGAAATATCAATAGCTCTTACTCCAAAGAGCTATTGAGGCATGCCGAGCAGATGTATGATTTTGCCAAAGCTTTCAGGGGTTCATATCGAGATGTTCTACCTGGTGCGAAACAATATTATGATTCTGAGTGAGCAATTATCTGAGCATCCTGGAAATTTGAGATAAATGCGTATTTCACAGGTCTTCTTCTTACGTTGATGAACTTTCTTGGGGAGCCATTTGGTTGTATAAAGCAACGAACAATGTTCGATTTCTTGAAGAGGCCAAATCCTTTCATGGAGAAATGAAAATAAATGAGGAAGATACAGATAGGTTCAATTATGATAGAAAGGTGCTTGGTATTCAGGTAATCAAAAATGATGATAATTATTCTGAAGTACTAACCCAAACTGTCACGAACCGTTTTTACCTCAAAGCTATATGTACATTTTTGGAATGAGAATTCAAATTTCCGATAGGTCTCCATAACATGAAGAACGCTTGAAAAATAGTATAGATATTTTTACTCATTTCCATATCTACTCATTTCCACACCTTGCGGTAGGGCATACGAACATTTTTTTCGGTGTTGATATAGTCTATTGAAGTTGGAGGTCGACAAAGTTCTTCTTCAGTTCATCAATATTCTTCTGATTAGAAATATTTTTACATTGACATTTTTGATCATGAGGATGATATTGAAGATGAACCTTGTCTAACTTCAACTTATCCAACATGAATTTCTGATTGGTGGAATAGGCACACATATAGGATACAAAAAAAAAATAAACGCCCGTATGCTCTACCGCAAAGTTGTGTGACAACAATCACTCGATTTAGTTGAATATCAGTTGAAAACTTTCAAATCCGATCGAAATTTGTGAAGACAATTCAGTAGAGGAAACGATATGGGTGATATTTGTTGTAGGGCCGATGGATACAGAGATATTAGCCACACATTGAATTTCTGTACTTTTTTCCATACAAGCGGCTTACGCAGAAGATTTTGAGAAGGAAGAACAGAAATTCAGCTCTCCCGAAATATTTTTTTCCAAAATTTTCTACTGCTGGGCCAATACTAGGGAGACTCACGAAATTCGAGATTTCTCGTCTCGTATTCATATTCTTAAGAAACATTTGCTGCGATAACTCACAGCTCTAGATACGCCAGAGATGAAAAAATTTTGAACTATGCTGGTGAATTTCATTTCATTTGAAACATAGGAATATGTTAAATCAAGAAAATAACGAAGGTTACAAAGCAGAAATTATTTCGAGCTCTCAGCTCTAAATACGCCAGAAGAGACAAAATAAATGCTATGTTGAAAAATAAATAACATATTCCAGAACATAACAAACCAAAAAAGAAAATAAAAAATGACAAAGCAGAAATTTTTTCAGGATTTCTAGATCTAGAAAATATATGTTTCGCAATAGCTCACGGCTCTTAATACTCCAGACAAAAGAAAATGGCAGACTTATGGCCACATTTTTGCATTAATTCAGTGCAGTACTGCGCGCCTACAATTGAAAAAAATAATTCGCGTTACATCACTGAATTAGTTTTTCAAAAGACGTCTGTTTCGATCATAAGAAATGGATTTGTTGCTAGTGCTGGTACACTAGTTCTCTGAAAACATGTCACGGTTGGACGGTGTGAGTGCTCTTAATGCCCCTAACAAAACCAGTTTATCCTAGGGACTTCCCAGGGACGTCCCTGGGATGTACCGAGTACGATGGAAGGATATCCCTAGGACGTCCTAAGGATATCCCAGGGACATCCTTTCGACAAAAGGAAAAAAGTTGTAGGTCGAGTAGGGATTGAACCCGGGACCTTTGGCTTATCATGCACGCACCTTGCTCCATTGGCTATCATGCCTCCTGATGATTTATGTACTAAACAGATTTATAAACAGGACTCAACTACAGAAACCTGAATAAATACAACTTTGTAAGGAATTGGGTATAATTATTATCATTCTTGAGTGTTTGAAAATGAGGGGCATCATGCATGTACGATTTCTGTCTGCTAAAAATGATAATTTCTTAATGAATTCTGGGACTTTATTCTTTATTTCCATTACAATCATTTTCCGGAAGAAAAACAAACATTTTCAAAAAAATTCAACTCAATAGTTTGATGAAATTCAATGACTCTGATGTGGATGGATATCAGATACTCCAGGGACACGAATAGAATATACTGGGATGTACCGGGCGGGATGTCCACGGGACAACCACTGCAGGATATCTCCTGGATGTCCCAATCATGTCGTTGTACCGCGGGACAAAAAGGGACGTACCTAGGACATCCCTGTGTTGTTAGGGGCAGCAGTGATTCAGAGAGCACACACCGTTCACGTGCGACATGTTTACTGAGGACGAGTGCACATTGTTCTCTTCACGAATGAAAAAACAATTTTAATATTTCACCTTCCTCACCTAGCTGAGTTTTGATTGTATGAGAATTTCACATTGTTTTTTGATGCAGGCTTGGCCTTGTGTGATGATCATCATTTAGTTTTTGTTCTCGAAACTCTCGAAATATGGAGATTCTCGAATCGAGATCAAGAAATTGTCCACGAGAAAAACATCGAGACGAGTGTTTGTTTATGTGCCTCCAACACAAGATTTCTCGTCTCGATGAAACAGTATCGATGAAAAGAGTATCATAATTCGACCGTATGAATTATACTGTGACGCGTTTCGTTTTCATATAACCAAAGAGGAAACTCCTCTATTCAGTTTTGTTTTTCTTGATTCCAGATATTGTTAGCAGAAAGTAGCAATTCTAGTCTTTACAACGATGCAGTGATATCAAGTTGTGATAATATAGTAGATAAGAATCCGAGGACGCTCAAAGGGTTAGTTTATATCAGTAAACAAGGCACATTGTCACATGCTGCCAGTGTAGCTTTCATTTGCTTGAGGGTGAGTATTGATCAGTTTTTATATGCGGAAAACATTCGAGGGTTGATGGCAAATTACTATGGAGTGGAGTTTGAAATTATCGCGCAAATCGAACAGCATAAAATACTTTCGATGACTTCATACTGTTGAATTGAGCGTGGACTGTAATATTTTTATTGTCGTTTGATTGGCAGAAAATAACGTGACTTACCCAACTTTAGTTTCTTCGGTGTCGCTCCACAGGTAGGATCTTCTTGTTTTCACGAATTTTGTCACTTATCGCATTTTTAGAGGTTCTATTGAAGCACCTTTTCTTATTACCGGCAAAGGTATTCGGTACCTATAGGTTTTACTATAATTTTTGCGTTGTGTGTCGCGTAGCGTCTCATTAATTAAATTCGCTCGCGCGATGCGCACGTACACCTCACGTTTTAGTACAGGTGTCAGCCGAAAAGAGGGCAGCAGCATCCAGAGCCACTATTAAATTCTGCCTTTCAATAAGCGCGAAATAATCAATTCAAAAGTGTCGCTACCCACTCAAGCGTTTACCTTATTTAATTCAATGTAAATTAATGCAAATCTTAACTCATATCACTAATAATTATTAAAGAAAATAAATAGTTATACTAAACCATGTAATGAAACTAAACATGCCCCCCACCAAAATACCCCTGTATTTTATTTAACTACGAACTAGAGATTAGGCAATGGACAAATTTTAACGAGCGGTCTCTGAAAAACTCCTTGAGCTGTCCTGACAGTGACTACTCGCACAACCCCGTCCTTGCCAGGATGTGTTGCTATTATACGACCAAGCCTCCACTTAGAGGGAGGAGCTTGTTCATCTTTTATCAATATGAGTGTACCAATCTTGACTTCTTCATTGTTTTTCCACCATTTAGAACGACTATTTAAAGTATGAAGATACTCCATGTGCCATCTTTTCCAGAAACTCTGATGGAGTTTCTGAATAAGTTGCCACCTGGATAGACGATTGTGAGGTATATCAGTGATTTCTCTGTCTGGGAGACAAGAAATTGGTTCTAAGGTTAGGAAATGTCCTGGAGTGAGTGGCGAAAGGTCGTTTGGATCCGAACTGATAGCTGAAAGGGGCCTAGAATTTAGCAATGCCTCAATTTGAGTAAACAAAGTATATAACTCTTCGTAGGTCAGGAGCTGTTCTCCAATGACTCGATACAAATGGGTTTTGACGGATTTCACTCCAGCTTCCCATAGTCCTCCGAAGTGTGGACTACTAGGAGCATTAAATGACCATTCAATTTTTTCCACAACAGCCGCATTTTTCATGATTTCTGCTAAGTATTTACCAGCCGCTTTAAAATTAGATCCACAATCACTATGGATTTTTGTACATCTTCCTCTTCTCGATATAAAACGTCTTAAAGCAGCCAAGAAAGATTCAGTGGACAAGTCGGAACACAATTCTAAGTGTATAGCCTTCGTGGCATAGCACACAAAGACGCAAAGATAGGATTTCTGTGATTTGCAACCACGATATCTTCCAAGGGAAATGCGGAATGGCGCACAGAAATCGATACCTACTACGGAGAATGCTTTTAGTTCCGATATCCTAGTGGTAGGGAGATTACCCATCTGAGGTTGAAGAGGTCTTGGATTAGTACGGAAACATTTGTAACATTTCGAAATAACCGAGCGAATAGCTCTTTTGGGGCTCAAAATCCAATATTTTTGTGCTAGAAGAAAGTGTAGAGTTTGTAGCCCCGGATGCAAATGTTCACGATGCGTATCTTCAATCAAAAGCTCAGTTAAGCGGCATTTCCTATAGAATAAAATAGGATGCTTCTGATCGAAGCTAAGATGTGAGTATTCAAGTCTACCCCCCACCCTGACAATGCCTTCTTTATCAATGAAAAGTGCGAGTTTTTGCAAATATTTTGGGAGAATCTTACCAATTGTTAATCTATCAATTTCGTCAGCAAAATGAATCTTTTGGACATGTTTGATCAGCAGGTGCATAGCTCTAGTCAACTCATTCATAGTCAAGGGTCCTGTAGTCATTTTGTCAGGAAATCGCAGATTGAATCCAAATCTCATACAATGAGCAAGAATTCTTTTTATTTTAGACAGGGAAGAATATTTGTTCAGGAGATCAGAAAAGAAGGAATCATCATAAGCTGTTAATAGAACGTTTCTTTTTTGTTCGATGAAGACGTCATCAAGTTTTTCTAGTTTCTTGAAACTAGGCCAGTCAGAAAATGGTAAACATAACCACGGGGGTCCGTTCCACCATAGATCATTATTAATGAGGTCTAAAGGTAATTCTCCTCTAGAACCAGGATCGGCAGGGTTTTCTTTCGATATTATATGGTACCAACAGGATGGTGAAATATTATTCTGAATATGAGATACCCTGTTGGCTATGAAAGTTGTCCATTTTTGGGGAGGTGACTTGATCCAATTAAGGGCTATCATTGAATCAGTCCAAGCAAATATTTTTCCAATTTGAAGTTTTTTTGAATATATTTCAATTACAGAAGCTATCAAATCTGACAGAAGCACTGCAGCGCAAAGTTCCAAGCGAGGCAAAGACAATTTTTGAAGAGGTGCGACCTTGGATTTACCGCATATGAAAAATACTTTATATGTATTGTGATAGCAAGAACGAAAATATATGACGGCTGCATAACCCTTTTCGGAACTATCACAGAACCCAAAAATATCTAGAGGTTGTGATGCAGAAAGTGACAAGTGTCGTGGAATTCGCAAACTAGCTAAAAGAGGAAGTTCCCTTTTATAGCGAGACCATAATTTCAAAATATTTGTAGGCGGTAATGCGTCCCATTCAAGTCCAAGGCTCCATAAAGTCTGGATTAAGTGTTTTGCAAAAAATGTAAGAGGTGTAAGAAAACCAAGCGGATCAAAGATGCGTGCCACTTCAGATAAGATAGTTATTTTCGTACAAGGTTTGTCAATCACATCCACCTGAAAGGAAAAACAATCCAAAGCAGGATACCACCGAAGCCCTAAAATTTTTAAACAGGTATTGGAATCCTCAGCGTCAAACGGCATTGAAGAATGTAACCGGTCTGTTTCTGAGATATTGTTCAAAAGAGCAGGTTCATTTGTAGCCCATTTCCTGAGTTCAAACCCACCCAACTTTAATAAAGCAATCAAATCATTTTGTAGAGACAAAGCCGTATCGAGGGTATCACATCCTGTGATCAAATCGTCAACGTAAATGTCCTTCAGAATAACCTCTGCAGCTGTAGGAAATCTAGAAGCTTCATCAGCAGCCAATTGTCGTAAACTACGAATTGCAAGATAAGGTGATGAGCTGATGCCAAAGGTCACCCTTGAAAGACGGTAATCCTGAACGGGTTCATTTTGGCAAAAACGCCAAAGTAATCTTTGATAATCCCTATGACTGGGATGAACTAAAACTTGAAGAAACATTTGTTTTATATCTGCAGTATGTACGAAAGCATGAAGTCGAAAATTTAGTAGAACTTGAAAAAGATTAGTCTGCAACTTTGGACCTGCAAATAGAGTGTCATTGAGCGAAAGATTTTGAGTGGATTTGCAGCTACCATCAAAGACAACTCTAAGTTTTGTGGTGTGACTTTCAGGGCGAATAACGCAGTGATGTGGTAAATAAAATGATTTAGCTGGGGAACTACCTTTAACCTTTTCCATGTATCCAAGTTGTATATATTCCCTCATGAATTCTGAGTAAGTTTTGTAAAGATCACAATTACTAATTAGTCGTCTTTCTAATGAATGAAATCTTCGTAGAGCTATAGCACGGGAGCCTATGAATTCTGGTTCTTTAAGTATGAAAGGTAACGGCACTACATATCTACCTGATGAATCGCGATAATGTTGTTTGACAAAAATCTGCTCACAAGCTTCCTCGTCGGCTGAAAAATTCACTGAAGTAGATACGTTTTCTACTTCCCAAAATCTTTTCAAAGTGTCATCTAAATAAGTTTCGGAATCTATGGACGCGAAATAGGAACTCAAAGATGGTGCTGGCTGATAATTAGCTCTGCCTAATAATATCCACCCTAGTTTAGTTTATAATCCAGTGGGCTCATCGGTGGCCCCTGTATATCTACCATTTTTCAAGATTTGAGCGAAAACGTCTGCGCCTAAGAGCATATCTATTGGTCGAGATATATTGAAATCGCGGTCAGCCAATGGTAAGTCTAAAATTTGTTTCCAATTTTCAACGTTTAAATTGAAACTAGGCATGTTTGCGCATATTTTCGGTAATATGATTATATCGAGAGTTAATGAAAATGATTCATCAAATTGCGAACGAATTGTACACGTGGCACCTTTTGATATTTTGGATGATGAATTACCAATACCATTGAGTGGCACATTAGTACTGAAACTATCGATTCCTAGCTTCAAAAAACAGCTTTCTGTCATTATATTTGCTTGACTCCCATTATCAATTAAAACTCTTACAGGACAGTTATCCCCTTGATTATTTACAACGTCTATGATAGCTGTAGACAAGAGGACAGTTTGATTTTTTAAAAGGCTCGAATTGCATCCAATAGATCCTACATTTGCAGATGCGCCAACTACATTTTCTGTGGCAATATTAGCACTATTAGTGGAATTATTGTTATTTCTAGCGTTATATTGAGGAACAGCAGATTCATTTCTATTAATATGTAGGCTCGTATGATGTTTCTTACCGCACGATCTGCAGGATGAGAATGAACGGCAATTTATGATAGAATGACGAGATGATAAGCAATTCAGGCAAAGTCGATTTCGTTTAACAAAATCGTATCTGTCGCTTTGAGTTTTTTGTAAGAAATTTGGACATCTATGTAAAGCGTGATCTTGTTTACAAATAATGCAAGAAATATTACTACATTGTGCTTCAGTACTATTATCGCGAGTAACATTTGCCACCAAAAGGTTAGAGGCATTGCGGGTTATTTGATTTCTTTTTGGAATGATCTTCAAATTGCGTTTATCATCAATAGGTGCGCTAATGGCGGCAGAGTTCATTGCAGAACATTGTTTGTTCAGGAACTCCGTCAATTCTTTAAAACAAGGAACATCTTCATTAGGGTTACCTACTTTTCTCTGAAGTTCGTATCGAGTTACGGTTGCATTATCTATTTTTCTAACTAGAGTTTGAAATAAAATGAAATCCCATGCATCTATGTCAAATTGTAAGTTTCTCAAAGCCTGAATATTTTCATTGAATACATCTAATAGCTGTCTCAGGGCTTGTGGTGAATCGTTAGAAAGTTTGGGATAGTCGTGGATTTCATCCCAATAAGCTATAGCCAATAATCTTTTATTCTGGTATCTTTTTACTAAAGTGTCATAAGCGACAGTATAATTCGCATCCGTAGTAGGTAAGGATTTTACCAAAGTCAATGGCTCCCCTTCCAACAAAGAAATCAAGTATTGAAACTTTTCAGAGTTAGAAAGTGACTGATTATTGTCAACTGTATTTTTGTATAGATCATAGAAGGTGGGCCATTCCTTTGGAGAACCTCTGAAAGTCGGTAATTTTATTTTTGGCAATTTTACACTATTTGAACCTGGTTCACTTGAGGCTGAACGCCCGGTATTATTCAAATCTTGTCGTGTATTGAAAATTTCATTAAAAATTGTTTTAATGTTATAAAGCTTATCGTCAAATGATTTTCTAATGAACTTTTCTGGTTCTAAATTTGGTTCTTCAGTAGTGGAATGCATTAGCATAATGATTTCCGTGTGATGTTTTTCAAATTGCCTTTGTATTTGCTCCAAGCCTTCAAAACGACATTTGAAATGAACAAAATAAGTTTGTGCATGTACGGCAACTTCATGTAAGTCATCCAATCGATCGATATCTGTTTGGCGCGAAGCTCGCATTTGTCGAAGCTTAGCCATCTTACTTGAAGAAAAAAATTTAATTGAAAATCGAAATTCAAACTCGATACGAAAACAATCAAAGGAGAAGCAATAGATCGGTGAGAAAACCTTAGCGAAAAGTTAAGACTGGATTACACCTACGAATAAATCGATTGTTTACAAATAAACAGCTGTTTAGGGTCAATAAACTGTGCTTGGATATGTGGATGAAAAATATAGTATAGAACAGGTAGCTAGAAGTCGAGCTTATCGTATTCACCTGAAAAACAATTAGCGAGAAAAAAAGTCAAGCGCGTTCCACCGGTTCACAAAAAATTGTAGGACGATGGCCACTATGTTTAATTGCCGGCGTAGCTCTAGATATTTGGAATATGATGAAAACGCTAAATGCAATAATTGACGTTGATTATGAAAACACCTTGGAAAAGACAAAAAATATATTATATCTCACTGAAATAATACCTATCTATTGAAATGCGGTTTGATCTAAATTGATAGAGTGTGAAAAGCTATTAGGTGAATTATTCCAGGAAATATATTGAATGGTAGGCACTAAAGCGAGTATCGACACTATAAATCCGGCGATCTGAAGGATCAAATGTTGAATTGAGCGTGGACTGTAATATTTTTATTGTCGTTTGATTGGCAGAAAATAACGTGACTTACCCAACTTTAGTTTCTTCGGTGTCGCTCCACAGGTAGGATCTTCTTGTTTTCACGAATTTTGTCACTTATCGCATTTTTAGTGGTTCTATTGAAGCACCTTTTCTTATTACCGGCAAAGGTATTCGGTACCTATAGGTTTTACTATAATTTTTGCGTTGTGTGTCGCGTAGCGTCTCATTAATTAAATTCGCTCGGGCGATGCGCACGTACACCTCACGTTTTAGTACAGGTGTCAGCCGAAAAGAGGGCAGCAGCATCCAGAGCCACTATTAAATTCTGCCTTTCAATAAGCGCGAAATAATCAATTCAAAAGTGTCGCTACCCACTCAAGCGTTTACCTTATTTAATTCAATGTAAATTAATGCAAATCTTAACTCATATCACTAATAATTATTAAAGAAAATAAATAGTTATACTAAACCATGTAATGAAACTAAACACATACATTGGAGAATCAGCGAGTAATCTGAACAACAGAGCAACCGATAGCACAGATCACCCAACTTCCAGATACGAAACATATGCCTCTTGCCAGAACCGAATTTCATGCGCATGTTTGGCAAAATATACATAATGAGATATATTCTGATTCTTTCGGTTTTATTATCGAACTTGATGAGATACTGATCAGTACATAGGTATTCTTCCATTATGAATATGCCACATAAGTATTTTTACCATTTCAGCGAATTGTGCAGCATTTTTTCCTAGTGAAGTTAACGATACACCGGTATATGTGTTATTTTTCATTACTTTCATTATGAAACTGATCTTCTACCATATTTTTCATGAGACTATTGATTCTATCAACGACCCATATTCACACATCAAATATTCATGATATATACACCTGCGCATCCTCTTTGTGCCCTGGTATATGTAAGACTGTGTTGAACGTACTGCGTATATACTGCGTCCTCTAGCTCTTCCTAGTTTGCACTTATAGTGTATGATTTTCCAACATGACGTGTATTAATGAATGGACATAAGGCAGGAGTTCACCTGAAAATGTTTTGCAATCCACAAGCAAATAGTGAATTTATCGGAAAAAACGGTGAACTGCAGCAACACTTGGACTACATGGATACTATGAGTCAGATGATGAAATAAGAGAATCCAAGCTGGAAACCTTCGTCCACAGAAAATAAAGTACCAATTACAAAAAATATTCATGGCATTGAAATGTTCCTAATGAGATTCCCAGATATTTAACTGGACTGGGACTGGCAAATATATATACACTTGAATGAATCATGTTCACCTCATCATGAAGATGATCATTACTTGTTATATGTTGAACAGGAGTTTGTCGTCCCATACCCCGATGCAGATTTAAATCTCCATTCAAAAAAATAAAGGATATTATAATGTCGTGTAGACAATAATCCGTATCTAAGTATAACTGGAGTATTTGCATTGACACGACAATCCCGGTTGAAAATTCAATAAACTGGTGTAAATAAACATCGTACATCATTGCAGATTTGATCTTTTTATGATGATTATGTTTAAAAGTATGGTAATTCACACGAGACCAGTTCAACATTTGATCAAATAATACTACACATAACATTTCGAATTGGTACTACTTTACATCAATTTTGAGATAATAAGATACACCTGGAAATGTGCAAAGTAACACTGAAATATGCAGGACCTCGGAGAAAATCATCCGGTGTTAGCTGGTCTCAACAGTTTTTCTTAGAGGGTATCAAAGCTTCCGCATCTGATAGTTGGATGATCTGTGCTAGTGGATCTACTGCTAGCATCCAATGAGGAAGTAGTAAGTTCATATAACGATTGAAAATCAAATAAGTTCTTGCGTAGAGTCCACTTTCACAAAAGGAGAAGAGATAGAAATTATAAAGAAGTATTTTGAGCTCGATAGATACATCGAATCAATTCATTGTTTCATTCGAGAATGAGTCTGCTCACTGCTTGTTCACTATCAAATTCCAACAGAATATTACTATTTCAGGTGGCAGAATTATCGGATATGTCCAGAAAAAAGTTCATCCGATTTGCCAAAGAGCAAATAGATTACATTCTGGGTGCCAATGGAAGGAGCTACGTGGTTGGATATGGTATTAACTATCCAAGAAGACCCCATCATGCAGCGAGGTATATAAAATCTTCATTCACAAAGTTATTTGGGAAGCCTTGAGCAAGGAATGTCTGCCACGTGCACCCGCTCTGTTTGTACTTCAAACGAACCGCACGACGTATGTTACTTGCTGGAGCTGCTCCAATGTACTTTGACAAGACAATAAGTGCTATTTTTCATGTTAGATGAACAAATCGAGAAATGAAAATCGATTATAATGTACACCGAGTGAAATATCCATGTCGGCGCCATTAGAATTCATTGAAACGACCTGAATATCTTGCTATTTTCACTTAAGCCATTTTTCTTCGGAATAAACCACACAGACTCGGTCAACAATAAGTCAACTACTCAATTTCTCTCGAAGTGTATTCCAATTCCAAACTATGATGTAATAGTTAACCAAGCACACAAACCAGCTCACTGAGTTACCAATTACATGAATTAGTTAAGTCTTCCGATTGGTCAGGTGATTGAGCTCTCGTTACTCACTCTTGTTGTTGTTATAATCTGGGGTGGTTATCGACTATTCAACGCTTGATCTCTAGATTGAATCAGAATCTTTCATTCTCAAGGTTTCTTCGGTAATGAATCATTATTTTTTCGTTGAACGAATTTAATCGGACTTGCTCTACCAATACAGAAGCCTAATTGAACCATACGAGACCAACCTTCCTCATTTTTCAGCCATAAAATTTTGGACGCTCAGAACGTCAATTAGGTTGGAAGCCAGAATGATGAATGCAGTGTGCGCAACTCTCGCGAGGCGCTCGTTTATCGTCCCAATCATGAAATACTCGTACGAAGACAACTCGTGATAATACTTTTCTGGAAATAATCTTCGATTGACATACTCCAGCTTGCTGCTCAAATTTGGCTCATGACATTGTTCGATAAGTTTTGATAAAAAATGTCATTCGGCGAGATTAGCAGGCAACAAGCTGTCGTTACAATCGCCGAATATTTCCGACAGAATAGTATCACTTGTGGTATAGAATATGATGAAATTTCAAATAACTACCTTGTTCAATTGGATAATCATAAATTTGAACCGAGTATTCGTGAATGGAATATCTCATCATATTATTAGCAAGAAAAAATAGGTAATTGAATCATTGACAATATATGTAAGTAGCTAGGTGATCAAATTCTTCTGGATTTGAAGTTGGTAAATACCAATTATACCTATGTATACACTCTTTTTGTTACAAATGATGAATTTTTCATTCAATATAGTGGAATTATCAATAAATAAATAACAAATATTATTGACATACTGATATCTGTCAAGCTCCACGAGTGCAGCGTGACGTCATGATAAAGCTACCGTGACGTCATAATGAAATCATATGAATCCTTCATTTAGTCAATTTGATTAATTTACATTTTCAAGTCATTGCGATGATTACAATCTGATCAATATATACCGGGTGTCCCATTTTAATCTTTATTTGGAAATTTCTCGAAATGTATGCATCTGACAAAAAAAAATTACGAATAAAAGTTGTATGGTTTGGAGGGGGACGTCTGGTTATAAAACAAGTTTCACCCCCTGACCCCCAGGGGAGTAAGAAATGGAGGTAACATTGAAATCTTTAATGGAAACCCCTATTTTTTATTGCAGATTCTGGAAGAGTATCAAAAACTATGAAGCTTTTATTCGGGAACTTCTTTTTTATTTTCACAAGATGGCGCTGCGATCGTAAAAAACAATATTTCACTATTTACACATTTCAACCCCCTGAAGACGAGGAAGAGTGTAGGGTGTGATATTTTCCCAGACAAACGCCATTGGGGTGATATTCACACGACAAATTAACGCTAAACGAACTTACTTACCTTGACACCTCTACATAGAAAAGAGAAAAATAAGCATGTTTCAGCAATGAAAGTATTATTTAGGTCAGACTAAAGCTGGTTTCAAGTGAGATTGACTACTTTATCAAGTGTTCGAAATGACCTCCATTTTCTTGAATACACAAGTTCACTCGTTTTTCAAAATTCCGTACTTTTCGCTTCCAACATAGAAGGCGTTATCTTTCATATTCTCGCATGTGGTTGGGGGTTCGCGAAACACGATGTTTTTGATGTAACCCCACAGAAAGAACTCTGGGGAAGTCAAGTCGGGTGATCTGGGTGGCCACCTACAAACTAAATAGTAAAATATTGTTTTTCAAGATCGCAGCGCCATCTTGTGAAAATAAAAAAGAAGTTCCTGGATAAAATCTTCATAGTTTTCAATGCTCTTCCAGAATCAGCAATAAAAAATAGGGGTTTCCATTAAAGATTTCAATGTTACCTCCATTTCCCACTCCCCTGGAGGTCAGGGGGTGAAACTTGTTTTATAACCAGACGTCCCCCTCCAAACCATACAACTTTTATTCGGCAATTTTTTTTGTCAGATGCATACATTTCGAGAAATTTACAAATAAAGATTAAAATGGGACACCCGGTATATGCTTAGGTTAATATGAAATTAAATTGATATATAAGCAATTGAATACAACATATATTCTCATATACATATAATCTGTTTGAGAAAAAAAAGTTATCTGTAACTAAGTCATATTGAGCTATGACCTACATTTGAAGAACTATAGTTGGTGCTGATATCTCAAATTCTAGAAGAGTTGGTATAAATTTCATATTTGTTTCGACATCACTTCGAAAAACTGCCATGAGAATATGAAATTCCTATATGAATATTTTCATGAATAAAGAAGTTACGGAGGAGACATGAAAATGACCAAAATCTGTTTTTTGCGTATAAAACAGAAACGAATAGATTGTATCAAAATATTTTTTCACATTAAGTATAGTTGGCCTTGACAAACTCCACATTTGGTGTCATTCAACCGACCTCGTATCTCTCACCGTTAAAAAGATACCCATGGTGAGCATGGTAAGTGGGACACACTGTATACAATATACATCATATATAAACATAGGAATAAACACGTTCTACAATTATTAGTACACACACACTATAGGTACTATACGCACTCTTCCACAGGTATAAAAAATATTTGATGAATATCATAGTTTGATATTGAAACTATCCAGATAATTCCCTTGAAGAATTCCCAGAATTTTGAAAGTTTGTTGATGTGACTTAATGGATAGGAAAGTCATTTCTGGACCTTGTATTGTTACCATGGATCTGGTCATTATTGTTTGGTAGAGGAGGAAATAATCGATTGGTAACCATTCTATTTGCTATAACATATTTTTCATTGGTGTTAGTCGTTTGCAATTTAAAACTATAGGCATAGCTATATCTTGGAATTTCTGTGAACGAGCGAACACATTTTGCTTCGGTTAGTACAGAATTGTAAAACAATAAGTGAAATGAGGAAGCACGAATAAATTGAACAGTTAAATTTTTGTCCACTTTGTCAAATATGGGGCACAACGCAATTAATAATGATTTTCGGAAGCTATCATATTTATAATGACATTGGCATGTTCTTTCACTTGCAATCTTCCATCCACATGAGTCCCAAGATATTTGAATTGGTTGACCCGCTCCACATCATCTAGACCTAGCATTATCTTGAAATTTTGCCCACAGAAGCTTTTCAATCGTTTTTCTGCACCCATTACCATGTACTTTGTCTTCTCAACATCAATCTCCGAGTAATTAGCACAACACCAATTGTGAATAGATTTTGAAGTTTTGTTGATGGTTTCGTGAAGTCATTACATTAGGAATGAATCAGTGTATCATCTGCAAAGAGATGAAATGAGCACTCACCTATCGCCTCTGACAAGTCCTTGATATACATTAAAAATAATAAAAGGCTCAGTACACTTCTCTGTGGCACCGCTTGGATCACATTTTATATCATGTGATACTCTTTTATTTTCCATGAGCTTTTTCCATGAGCTTTTGTTTTCTGTTCTTCGAAGACCTTCCTTATTATTTCAGGACTATTCCATCTACTCCTACTGCCACTAACTTTTGTGATGATCTATTTCTGTGTATTGTCTCAAAAGCCCTCTGAAGATCCAAGAATACTGCAACCGTAGTCACTTCTTCCTAGGCAATTTCTCCAATCATCTTTTAGACGCTGAATTGCTGTTTCACAACTATGTTCATTTCTAAATCCTGATTGGTATTTGTTCAACAGTTCATTATAATTCAAACATAATCCACTAACTGGTTATAGACTGCTTTTTCAATTATTTTTTCAATTGAGCTCAACATGTTCACTAGTCTTAGATCTGAGGCTTTACTTGAGTTTGTTTTTTTTTGGCACAGGAATGAATGTAGAAATCTTAAGGTCATCGGCTACTCTCCCTGTTAGTAATAAGGTATTGATGAGGTTTAGTAATGGTCCTGCAAGGTGATTAAAATGATTTTCAAAAAATGCCACATCCAATTCATCTGGACTCGCCCTATTCTTCAATGAAAAAACAATGTCTTTCAATTCTCCTAAATCTAGTAGTGAGAAGATTTTCATCGAATCATAAATAACCCTCAGGTTTGAATTAGATACTATTGGTAAGTAAATTTCTGCTGATTCAATATTATCTATTATGCTTTTGATACTTTCCACAAAAAAGGTTGGGCATATCATTTTCATTATTGATGATTTAATCACCACCTATTTCTATTTCACTCACTATCTGATTCTCATTTTGACTCGAACAAATATATCTCATTACCCTCCACAATTCAACCGAGTTCGTTTCATTTCTCTCTATTTTCCTCTCGTAATATTGTTGCCTTTTAAGCCTCATAGTTTTTACTCATACCATTCTCTATAATGTGAATACATTTTTACCATTCTTTTTGGTGCTACTTCATCATAAAATTCATGCACTTCATTGAAGAACTCTCTATATGTTTCATCATTCATGTCGATTATTTTGTAGTTTTATTATATTTTCGATAGTTTCTCGTTTATTTTATTGAAATCTATATTACGGCCTCTACTTTCTCATTTCGATTTTTTCCCCTTAGAACATTGAGCACAATGCAGAATAATATTATTGTGGCTTGATATTTTTGGTGTCCCTATAGCTTCTGCATCAATAAGATATTGCTAGTTGGTTATTACCAAATCTATCAAACTAAGGTTCGAGAAAAACATTTTTAAGCAATATGACATGTATTCACTCAACAAAACCTGAAAGAACTTCGTATTTTTGGTTTGCAGATAGTTTAGTCGCGAACTAGAAATATTAATATGTTACCTATTGAATAATGTATAATCGTGTGAATAAACTATTTATTATTATCATTATTATATCCGATAGATTGTTTCTTGAGAAATGCGATAAGTTTCAGATACTTATTGATTCCGATATTATCTCCAACATTCAAGCATGTATATTTACCACGAATATATAAACCAATGAGTTGATGATGACTTCAAAGTCTTTGATTTTTCACCAAAATAAGCCAGTAAAACGTTTTCTGAATACATATTCACCATCTCGGAGTGGCACCAATTTATGAATGTATAATATTGTGATTCATGTTTCTTCCTTGATTTCTCCGGTAAGAAATTCAAACTCTTGCGCTTTCTGCTATATCAGGAGGTGTGTTTGATGATTCACTGTCACTATTTTCCATCATGAAAGAATTGAGGGTTTTCAAGAATGGATCAGTATAGGTTACAGAGATGTGCGAGCGTTTTTTCATCATTTCCGCTCACGAGCGCAAATGCTGTCGAAGAATGACATTTCTAGGAAAACGTCAACTTTGTGATGGAATTTGATAGCGTCTAAGGCTACTTTGTTGAGCGTTCGTAGAAAAACTCTTTGTGCGAGCGTCGAGTTGGAAACCACTAATATTATGAACTATTTGTTTGGTATAGGTTGATGAGTTGATATAATATGGTCTAGGCTTGTGATGATCGAACTTCTTGTAATATTGAGTTTGGCAGAATGAGGCTGAGCAGAGAAGTTGAGACCAGTAGTTATATTGACGGGTAGGCAGAGTGGAAGGACCAGCCTCGAATTGCCCGTTCTCTTCTGAATTTGTTTCCACAAGTGAACCTTGACGTCATGATAGAGGTACCGTGACGTCATATAATAAAGTTGAACTGGGTTGCCTGGTTAGTTTCGAGAAAATTATTTTTGGGTTAACGTGAATTCTTTATGCGACCGTCGAGTTGGAAACTACTTATATAATATGATATACTGTGTGTTTGGTCTAGATAGAGTTGATATAATATAGTCTAGGCTTGAAATGATCGAACTCCTTGGAATATTAAGTTTGGCAGAACGAGGCTGAGCAGAAAAGATGAATCGATTGGTTATATTGATGGGCAGACAGAGTGGAAGGACCAGCCTCGGATTGCTCGTTCTCTTCTGAATTCGGATTTGCATGATATACGCTTCCTGTCAAAGTAGGTTGTACGCTTGTAGTGATTGGTGTTCGTACGTTGCTTATCAGTTGTCATGCGATTCAACTGGTCATTTAGATTTTGATCAAGATAACACTATTATATCTGTTCACCAGCGGTGATTCATTGCGTCATATGGAAGTCATATATATCCTGAAGGATTTAAAAAGATGCTACATGATGCGTTTATTACTATAGATTTCATTCACCTCGTTCCTGAAATCTTAAAAAAAAATCAAAGTTCATGAAAACCATAATCCACGAATGCTCAAATATATCATATGAAAAATTATGTTACCCTTACCTATTGAAATTAACAATTCTTCAATATGATGGTCTATTATTGTTATATCGAATCAATGATATCTAAAATGGAATAATGTTCATCAAGTAGGTGTATGAATAATGAGACTAGTTTTATCATGCCATCATGCGATATATGAGTACTCATAGAATATATCCATCACAGCCTTACTCACCTACTATACCTACCATCCTATAATATACGTAGCTGAAGATTTAGCAAGCTCATTGTATTGAATGATTGATCATACAATGAATCGACCTAGGCATCACATACCTATTGCATAATTTTGACTCCTGAAAACTTAATATTCTTCCAATTCCAATATTTTCATACAAACCCATACTCTGTTCAAATTCCACAGATACGAGTTCTTTTATATCCAATGTTACGAGGGCTAGGACATATTTGAAGAAGTAATTGATCTCTGGAATGTATGGAAGATCACTATTTCACTTCAGACCTCATCGTGCTGAATATTAAATAATTTTCCATATAGTCAGCCACTACAATATCGAACTCAAACAGGCACTGGAAGAGAATTTGCCGAAGACATATTCTTCTTCCTACTCTCAACAATCTCTCAACTGTACTGAATATTCGGTGATAGCGTTTCCAAATAAATTATTATGGACATCATAATTGAATTATGTTGTTTTCAGGTGGGTCATTTTGAGATCAATTTGCATTGAAATTCGCTGTGAGTGTGGTACTCTTATCACCCCATTTTATGAATGCAATCTCGCTAGTAATTCAACAATACTGAGTGAAGTATATAACACCATATATGTCAGTTGATAGAACTAGGTATGCAGTAATGAACTCAACAATCAGTTCACCTGGGGAATATGGTGAATTATAAAGAAATTGGTGGTGATATTCAACGGAATAGCTATAGTTGAAATTAACATAATATCTTAGGGAACTGTAAACTGTCGGACTTAACTCATTAGTTCAGGTAAATATAACATTCAATTTGGTTATTTTCATTTGCCGATGTCTGAAATTGTAAACAACACTTCAATGTTTACGTTTACTATTGGAGAGGTAAAGTTAACTCATTGTCGAGGTGCATTGTACTCCGACCGCATTCAAAAGTACCACGCATATCTAACTGTAAAATTGTGGTGAGTTCCGGTTTTCGTTGGAAACGTTACATTCTCACGTCATGTCGTTGAAATATTTCAATTAGCATCAGTTATATTTTCTTTTTGGAAAAGATTTTCCTCAGTGCATCGACGAAAAGGTATACAGTAAAATGTTGAGAGTTGCGTTCATATAGTTCCTATATTCATCATTTCCAACATCTATGAGATTTATTATAGTAAATCCAACATATACTTGACTGGTTTTTGCAATGGGTCATCAGGAATTTTTGATTTTGAGGAATTAAGTGATTCCGAATGAATCTTGTATTTTTTTTTCAGTTCTTGTTTGGCGAAGCCCGAACCCTGCGGATGGCACCAGTATAATTCAACATCACCAAATCCTCAGATCTTGTATGGGGCCCTAGTCAGTGGTCCGAATCAAAAAGATTATTTCGAAGACACGAGGGAGGAGTTCTTGTATACTGACGTAAATATCGACTATAATGCGGGTTTTCAGAGTGCTTTGGCCGGACTAATCCATGTGCAGAAGAATACAACGATACATTGAAATCTGAACTATTTAGAACCAGGCAACCAGATGACGAATGATCACGTCACTGTGACGTCCCTAATTGGTGATTTTTCGTCAGAGACGTCACACACCAATTTATGACGTCACTATGACGCACTTTCTACGACGTGATAATCACGGCATCGTTCCGACGTCGAGTGAACGTCACTTAGATGGGTTAAAGAAGACGTCAGTTTCATAACGTTGCAGGGACGTCCTGTCGACGTCCATTTTTCCCAGACCTTCTCTAAATCATAGATACTTATATATTATTATGTGAAACAAAAGTATAACTGATGAAAGCAAATCCACATGCAAGTTTCATTGGAATTATTGATATACCCGAATAGTAGGAATAGTAGGTAAAACTTTTACACACTGTATATCTTGGCAACCAACAAGCTATGTATATATAGAAATGATTGTTGAGGTATACCTATATTGAAACCGTTACTCTCATGACGTTGCAGTGACGTATTCATGACGTCTAAAAATCACGTCGGTGTGACGTACCAATTTGCTGAGCTTCGTCATTCAGAAATTTTTCCGATAATTTGTCATTCAGATATTCCTTGGGTGACCAAGAATGCATCAATATACATTATTCTACAAAGTAAAGCTGAATTTGCCAACATCTTTCACATTGCTATCAAACTATTCTTTGTTTGCTTACATCTCGCCGACACAAACTACAAAATGTTTGATATGAATACGAGAAACTGATTGCATTCTGATGGAGATGCGTACTGAAGGATAGCTCTGCTGAATAGGCGATTGAATATGCATGACACAGGATGGCCCCACCAAGTAGACTCAACAATGCATAATCAATATTATATAATGTCATCAGAGGCCAGTGTTGTTTATCACATTATGTTAGGGGAATCTTTTTTTACGTATCATCGCCAAATTCGATCGTCATTTTGACGTCTGTCGGACGTAACAATTTGGTGAGTGAATGACGTCAATACGACGTGAGTAATATGATGTCATCAGGCTGTGACGTATTCAAGTCATTATCACGTCATGCGACGTCAACTACTGCGTCACCTTGGTCATTCGAGTGACGTTAAAGAGACGTTTTACTGGAACGTCATCTGGTTGCCTGGGGAATTGATGATGATCAAGCTGATTAAAATACAACTATAATCATAACTAGTTTTTTTCACAAGTTCTTCATCACCCCACATGAAACAACACAATAAACATCTATACAGAGAATGTTGCGAGGAGCTTACACTAGCTTACACTATCGAGAATCAGTCAGAAACTCTGCATGCTTATATATAAGAAGTCCCCGCGAGATTAACCCGTCGCACTCCTCCGTGGTCACATTGGAGACTTGCAGAACATCTATTCCCAAAGACTTGTTCATCCAACGAACTGCAAGGATCTGGAACACATTGTCAAAAAATAATACGCTCTTTGAATTCAAGATATTAACAGCAACGCAGTGTTGTCGCTTCTATCAGAAAGAAGCAACAAATTTGTTATTTCAAATGAAATATCCTCTATATCATTGCATTTTCAGATTTAACCAGAAAGCTGATTTCATCCATACATCACACTTGGGGTCTACTAGAAATGATTACAGAGATATAGGGTAGTCAAAATCGAGATTTCTCAACTTTTGAATTCGTTTGTGTCGAAACTATTCATTATCTGCCAAAACGGCTAACATGTTCTCATCCTACCTCTTGATTCAATATTCACTGATATTCAATCAGATACAATCAGAACAGAAACAGGGTGATGAATAGATTCGACACAATAAAATCCTTGAGTTCCAAAATCTCGACGACTTTGAACACCCTATATCTCTGAAATTATTTTCGATAAACCCCAAGTAATACGCAGAAAAAAAACCGCATTTTGTATAGAAAGCGAGCAAATTTGCACACATGCTCATAAGACCGAAATGAACGATCTGGCTCTCAGCACCTACTTTTTTGGGCATGGGTGTCCAGATTTTGGGGATAGGGGGTTTTATTCGACTATATTTTTTTTTAAATCGAAATGAAGCTACAGAGATGATCCAGATATCTATTTTAAATGGAATTGTCGCTATAAATTCGATGGTGAGATTCTTCCAGCTCTATGATCATCGTAAAAGTCTCAAAAACCGCCATTTTGGAAAATGGCGTCAGTACCATATTGACATGGTTGCATGATTCGTGGCGTGTGAGGTATGGTTTCACATATTTCAAGCATGTGTGAAGATAATTGAACCAACGAAATTATGTGAAGATTATCTTAGTATGGAAACATACTCGCACACCTTTCAAACCGCATTTTATGAACATCTTCTTTTTTCAAGAGTAACCTTGAGATAATTTCTTGGTGAATTCTCACACAGAGACCCCTGAAATATGTAAATCCATCCTCACTCGGCTCGAATTATGCAAGTTTGTTAGTACCATACCATTTCATGAACATCTTTTTTTTCACAAGAGTGACCTTGGGATACTTTTCTGGTGAATTGTTACACAGAGACCCATGAAATATGTTAATCCTTACCTCACTCTACTCGGATTATGTAAGCTTGTCAGTACCATATACCAGGCGCCATTTTCCAAAGTGGCGGCTTTTTGAGACACTTTCAGTGCACAAAGAGCTGTGAGGATATCACCATCAGATTCTTCAAGACAATTTCATATGGAATCGACATCTGGATCACCTTTATAGCTTCATTTTGATTTTCTTCAAATCATCGTGGAATAAACCCCCCCTACTCCCTGAAAATCGAACCCACACACCAAAAAAAATGGGTGCTGTGGGTCAAATCCTTCATTTGGGTATTGAGAACAAGTGTGCAAAAAATCTTGCTTTCTGTGCAAAATGCGGTTTTTTTCTGACATTTACGGTGTACCGCTAGCACTAAAGTGTGTATTGATAACATCAGCTTTCCAGTGTGAATCTAGAAATTCTATGAGATACAGGCTGTTTCATCTGGAATATCAATGTTGTCACTACTTCTTCAGTGGAAGCGGAAACACTGCACTGTCGAAAATATTTAAAATGAGTTGAGCTTTTTTCTGAGGTGAAGGCATGCATATTTTCATAGATTTCTCCTGACTGATTTTCGATATAAAGTTAGTGTAAGCTCGTCGTGACATACCCTGTATATAGGTACAAAGCCTTCTTAGATGATATGGTGTAATTTTTTGGTAAAATCTACAGATTTTGAGAAGATATCCATAATACGAATGCATAGCTGAATAAACATTTTCAATATTCCATAAGGCTACTAAGCTGCATATGAGTCTTCATTTGTGGATTAGAAGTGACTAGTTAATCGAACGATCTATGAATGAATTCGATATTATTTCCAAAACTGAAAGTCTTCGAAAAAAAATATCTGGACCCTGTCTATTTTCACTTTCAGTGTTCTATGTACAACAACGGAACAGGGTTATAAACATTCAGGATGATGTCGTCATCGGTAATTTTCTTCAATGTAACACTCTGTTTTTGTGAATCTCAAGTTTTATAACTTTCATCAGCCTATTTTCATTTATCTTAAAAATCACAATGTGTGGTATAACATTAGAAAAAATGATCGATGACGTCATCATGTAATGTTTGGTGGTAAAATGTAGAAATCATGCTACAGAGGTAAATTCATGTGAAGAGTTGCAATACCAAATTGAACATCACTCAAATGACCGAACAGCTGATCCTCAACCATTTACGCTGAGAGAAAACTTGAGTTATCATAATTGGGAATCTGATGATAACCGTTATTATGATATCTGCAATAGGAAGAGGACAGATGTGTTCATTCGCTACCGAAGATGAAGTTAATTTTCAGGTGGATTGAAGTTATGGCAGCATATATTATTCAATTCGCGAACAGAGTGTCGAATAGGAATTATTCCCATATAAATGTTGCAGTAACTAATCCACTCTACAGTGGTTATTAGACTATCCTCAAATAGCAGGCGGTCTTGATTACTGGCACAACCATCTTGAGGTGACGCAGTTATTCGTCTCATTCTATTATAGTTATCTGATATCTGGATGAAACCTGACATTTTGACATGCTTTTGTAATATAGCTAATTTTCAACAGTTATCCCAATATTTTGCTACCCTAGTATATTCATCAAACAGTAATAATTATGTTATCTAATCAACATTGTTCAATGGGGTATGCATTATAAAACCGTGCATTGAATTATCTACTGTAGTGAAAATAATAAATATCTTTTAAACTTACTTTTCATGATTCAAAGTTATTTTTCTCGAAAAACAAAAAATACAATCAGTTTCTTGATAGAAATTTCTGGGTTTCTCTGGAAGTTTTTTTGACAACACTCATTGATTTTTTCGGAGAAAGTTATACTTCTTTACTATTCCTACGGAGTTATGATGAAAGTTGTCAATAAAAGCTTCCCTCACAGATATTTCAATTCAGAATACCATCGATCATTTTGTTTTCCGAAATAAATCAATTTCAGGCCGTTAAAAGTTGGTATGGAGAAAACTTCTTTCATTGCAGTTATGCAAAGCACGATGTATCCTACTCCCATAAACCTCTCTCACAAATTATAGTTGCGAATTTGAATAAAAATCTCCGTAGATATCAAAGTCTCTCAAGCATATATGGTCAATATGCATTTTTCGTCCAAAAAAGTGGATTAGATAGGTGAAAAAGATAGGTCTATAGTGCATACACCCTCCAACAATAAGTTCATTGAGAAGTTACAGGGTATCGTAAAGATTTTCTGATGCCATTATTTATTCGCCTGCAATCTCAGCAGTTTCTGATCAAACATAGCAAGTTGAAGATATGGTCCAAATAATAGGGGAATTCCTGACATACTTACGAAGATGTCACTATAAAAGTACTGTATCGCCCTGATGCACTTTAGAACTTTGTTGACGTAAATTAAATCATATATGAACTATATGAGGTTTTAATGTTCTCTATAAAGAAAATTTAATTTCCTCGAATATTTGAATATTTCAAGTGAAAGTTTTAGATGGCTCGAGATC